AATTTTTTAAATTTCTAAAATATATGTTCAAACTTAAATTATTATCATCTTTTTCTCACATTTACTTATCGGAAATATTTAAACAATTTAATATTTAACTTTTTTGTTGACTTTATTCTTCTTCTTCTTAATTTTAATGTAGAAGTTTGGAAAATTTTAAATTTTTGTTGAAATTTTCATTAAGTTTTGTTTTAATTTTCGAAAAAATGATTCTAATTTTTCTTTAGGCACAAAAACAGTGGTTGGGTGAGGAAGTTGCTAGTAAAACTTGCATAGCTTTTCTAACGAGCTAACACTTAAAGAACTACAACTAAATTCACTAGAAAAAAATTATTTCACTACATTTGTTTTTGTTTTTTTTTCTTTGTCTTTAGTTTCATATTTACCACGCCACGGCCAAACTTTAGATTTCGCTTTTCATTATTCATGTTCTGTATAAATGTATAACTATGTTTTTATGTACTTATGTGTGGTGGTGAGCGTTTGCCTGCGTGTGCGTCTCTGGTGTGCGTGCGCGCATGAGAGTGAGTGTTTGTTTTCCTCAGTGTTGGTTAGTCTACTTTTCAGCGTAACTTTCACTGATTTTGTGTTTTGCTGCAGGATTATGAGTGTTGGAGTGAGGAAGCTTTTTTCAACGGTAGGGATTTGGGTGTGGAGTTTTTTGTTGTTTATGTGTTAATTTTTTTCAATTTTAATTAAATTTAATAGTTTGTGTTTAGTTTGTATGAATATGAAAAGTTAATGATTTCGCTTTTTTTGTGGAAAAATGTTTTATTTGAATACTTATGCTTTCAAAGCTTTTTCTTAATATTTAATCTTGCAAAAGCTGGGGATATRCTACTGGAAATGTCGCCTTTACAGGTTGTTTTACTACGTTTGGTAAATATTTACTATTTTTTGGCGCTGAAAAAAATTATAACTGTATAAAAAAATACTATTTCAAACACTTATTGCCTTAAAAGTTGCCGTAAATGAAAATAAAATACCTATACACTTATATTAGTAAGCAGTTTCAATTGCATTTGTGTTAGTAGCTGTGAAAGCTCTCTTTTTGCAAGCCATTTTTGTTAGTACTTATGGAAGCTCCTTACTTGCAAGCTTAAGCCTGTGCGTGAAAGCAGTGTAAAAGCTTTGGTGAGCGTTTTGATAATTTCATTACTAAATCGCTTGTTGATGGTGGCATTAGTTTTGTGTGGGAGAGGGTTGTACTAAATAAATTGGTTGGTTGGGTTTACAGAGACTACTTAGTTTGCTATATTTCTTAAATAAATGAGCTGTTTTTAAGTTGTAAGTTGTGTAAATTTTTATGAAAGCTACTTCTAGCTATATGTACTAATATCTAAGACTTCTTGAGTATGTATATATAAATGTATTTTATTTTATAAAAAATTAGGTCACATTTTCGAAGCTTGAAAAAGTATTTGCATACTGAGGTATAAATATTTTTGATACTCCGGTTCATGTTCAYCCATAAAATTAGGATATAGTTTGGGATGATATTTCAAAGACATAAWAAACATCGGAGCTTAAAGCTCCCGTGTGTTTTAATGGAAAGAGATTTAATATTTCGAAAATGACATTTGGGGTACTCTTGACTAGCCTTTTTAGAATTTTCGAAAGAATTTGAAAAAATCCTGAGTCCAGTCTCGGTATGATTTAACAGAGAATGTTTTGGAATCTTTACTACTGATTCTCAAAATGCACTTTCATAAATTTTGGGGAAAATATGGGCTGTAATGAGACTTAGGTGGAGTTTTGAGTAAGTACCAGGTCATAAAGTAGCCTCATTTGATTTTTTCTCATTTTGGGCAACGTGTGAGAGAGTTTCAGCATCGCCTCTTGCCTTTTATTTACCTTTTTCGATTACTACGCGAAATGAGCTTTTACATGTTTCAATAGTTAGAGCTTCCGATCTACAGAAAGCAAAGAAGTGGAATATTCAATTGTTGAAAGGTTCGTTGTCTACAGAAGCTTCGAAAAGCTCATGTTAGAAACCCATTGAAAGTCCTTATCGAAAATGGAGTAGAATGTGTAAATTTTGTAAGCTTTGAATTGCCAAAACCTAACCAGTATTAAGATTAGTGTTGTTAATGTGGCATAAAAAGCCCAAAAGGTTCGATAAAAAAAGGGTAGATTTATTAATAGTATTGGTTCCTTTTCAATTATACATACGTAGCTATTTGGAAATTACTAGATTTTGAGAAGCTGATTTGAAAAGCTTTTAGCCTTATTTAAGAGTGATCAGGAAAGTTTTATTAGTCGAATAAAAGCTTCATATTTGCAAGCTTCATTAAAATTATTACAATTTAATAAGGAAAAATATCTGTTAATATGAAATAAAAGTAATAAATTTCATAAATTTTAGCAATACTTAACTATAAATATACAATTAAAGCTAACTACCAGACCAATAACAAAAAGCACATACAGTTATATAAAACGCAATACATACATATCTATATAAAATATTGATTACGGTATACATATAATTATAATTGTAAAAATGTCATTGAAAGCTTTTCATACTTTAAACGCTCGTTAAAAAATATACTTTAGAGCTTTTAAAGCGCAACTTGAAAACTGTGCATATATTAAGTTTTTAATAACAAAATTTTTTATTACTTGTGCTTTACAGTGAAAGCTTATAAAAAGTTGAATCTAATAGACTTTGTACGGTAAATGCTTTGATATTCGATTTATAAAAACTTATGCCTACAATATTGAAAGCTTTTYATACTACAAATGTGTTTTAAAAATCTGGATAACTTATTATAAAAAATAGCTTTGAGAGCTTTTAA